TTCCGGCGCGCACCAGCGTGGAGGTGGGGTTGGATTTTACGCACTTCATTGAAGTCTCGGTCGTATTGCTACTAAACCAAGAGCCCAGTACAGCCTACCTTAACAGAGGGCAGTGAAAACTGAGAAGTAACAATGCAAACAACAAGGATCTATAGTCAGTTTGAACCTCACTGGAACAGAGGCCGAGGCGCTTGACCCAAAAGAAACCATCCACACACTTGGTTCGTCAGGCGAAGTGAGTTTTAATGACAAATCGGTACTTCTAAGGCCACGCACAGAACTATACCAGAAGCAAAGAAAAACCCATGCATATATGTAACCGTTGGCTAAAACTCTGCTGTCACAGGTGACCAACACAGTGACCGGACGCTGGCGTCCTTTACAGCCACCCATTTTAACTGGACAACTATTTTTCAACAGTTCAGTAGATTTCCAGGCAAGATCCTAGGTTTGGCGTCATTCTTAGTCACCCATTTCAACCAGATTTTGATGGTCCAATTTGGTGCGGAACTCCCAAGTTGCGTTGTCGGGTGGCCCTCGGTTGGATCCTGTGTCATTTTTAAACTAAGTAGGGCTGACTCAAGTACTTCCTTTTTTGCCGTAACACCGGCCGCCAATTGCAGGACTCTTGTTGAACCAAGTTGGTACTCCACAAACTGTCAAACCCGGAAACAGGTACATCAAAATATGGATAAGTTTCACACACTTGGCCAGTCACAATAACGGAATCAACCCCCACTGCCTAAGTGAGCATTTCATTGCAGAAGTCGAAACCACTGAGGAGCAACAGATTCGAAACATTACTGTGAATCGTAAGGGCAGCAAAAGCATTTGAGATCCCGCGACTGAAAGCGTTTAAATGCACATATAAAACATAAAAATGGGCTACGCTCGCATCACCGACCTGCAAACCCAAAGCAGCATGCATAACACCGACGATGTTTACACTATTGTCTTGAATGCCTCCTCCGCTCCCCTAATTTCTCAGTAAATAGGTTCGCACGGCCTACAGAAACGCCAGGCGAATAAAGTTCTTGGCCCAACGACAGAGTCTCCTTTTTCGAATAAAAATCCACTCTCTCAATTTTTGTACACGGAGTGAAGAATTGCCGATTCTAACATTTGTTTCCACCTGTGTATATTTTTAATGCTTTAAACTACATGATACTTGATATCCCTAGAAGCAACCCGCGTATCCTCTCACCATCTTATGAAAACGCTTCCTATTGTTAATAAAACATTGTTATGACGGCCACGTCGAATACTATGTGACAGTATCGAGGGAACAGGGGACTACTGAAACCATAATGCCCTCAAAAAGGCTATCACAATTAGAAACTTGAAAAATTTAACTACTATCTTCTTCAAAGTTTTATATTCGGCGACTTAACTTTCCATATAAAGAGGTAAATCAATTTTCTGTGCATCCTTTCTAAGAAGGATAGCGAAAATCGTCGGGTATCAAAAACCAATAACGATATCCAAGTATTTACTTTTTAGAACGCCATTTGCGCAGACGGCTCAATCAGGAGTCTGCGGAGTTTACTCGAGATAGTGCTTTTACCTAGTAGTTTTGCAACCCCACCTTAAGTAGTTTCCCCCATTCGCATAGGTCGAAAATCTTCAGTTAAAATTTCACGAGTACGAAGAGTCGACTGACAAGCGAAAAGGCCCAAGGCTCTGAGAGAGCATTTATTGGCCAGAAAACGGGTAATGACAACGGAAAGGCGATTGGTTCGCGCTTTTGGATGCCGCACGCAGCAGGAGTGATAGCGGTAGCAGCACTGATGGTCGAAGGGCAGGGAGCGGAATTCACGCAGAGCTCCCATAAAAATTGCCAGGAACGAGATCCGAAATGAGTATCTGTTTACTCCCACTCAGTGGTGGCAGGCGGCTTGGAAGTCATGTCGTAGAGGACACGAGAGATGCCCGGTACCTTACTCGCCTCATCTTGCATTTTCTGTACAACCTACATGGACAAGGAAATAATGTCAATTCATCAGCAGAAGGCATTTTAGGACCAGGAAAAGTACAAGCTTGGCATAGTGTGAAATGAGGCCATGATGAAAGTCAAGGTGAAACAAAGTGGAAAGCTCGCTCAGGAAGCCATTATATGTCAATAATAGCGAAAATGTGATTTCCAGGTGGCGTGTAAAAAAGGGAAGACGTTGACCGGGAGGGGTGCATTTGGGCTCTGACGTCTTTAGTTCTAATTTAGACTGGTCACTTTCGCGGACTGATATGGCCTGTGTAGAAGCAGTCTACAGGTGCAGAAGCCACTCCAGGGCTGTTTTTCGGCGTCTGGTCATTAGTCAACGGTGAGAAAACCAAGCTCATTTTAGGACTACCAATAACACACAGTCGCCTTTCAAACTCGATTTGAGTCACCCAGTGTCCAGCCACGCTGAGTTACAGAAACGTCCGCAAAATCAGGGAAATGGGGATACCGAAGGGGTTTCTGTTTATGCGCATTCCATCTGAGGCATGGATCACCAATACCGACTGTGGATGTGAAACAGATATCCGGTTTCATTGTGGCCGGTCTGCCCCGTCTTCTTTGACCTTTCAGCTAATCTTTGACCCCAGCAGTTTCATATCAATATGTGTAAATTTGCGACCAGGGACCAAGGCCAGGCTGTTCTGTCTTTGCGCAAGGTGCCGACATCAACTCACAGAATGAAAGGATATGAAACCAATTCTTGGTCGTAAACCCGAGAATCCTACTTCGCTAAGCCCGTACTTTGCAGATTTTTTCGTTTCTAACAAATGTTATCGTTCATAGATAGCTATTTCTAAGCAGCATGCAAAAATGTCTGATCTCCTCTCAACAAAAAGTACGCAACGTGAAATTTGGAAACTCCAAACGCTAGTACAACAGCGAATGGGTTTTTAATTGGTCGGGCACTGGTACACTATATAAAAAGTGATCTCACTTTTTTAAATACGCAAGCTAAATAAAGTTTAATTCGCCATAAAAAAGGAATGTATGAGATGTGTTCGCGCATACTAGTGGTAACATACGTAAGGAGTCTAAAATTCATGAAAAACTTACAACGTAATTTGTTATTTTCAGTGTGCGTTCCAAGAGACACGAACTTGCAAGCTAGCGTCCTGACGTACGTGAATGTTACGTACCAAATGGTGTTGCGACACAATTTAGTAATCTTGTTTACCTGAAAACCTATTTTTGAGATCAGAGTGGAATGCCACTCGGTGGGTTAGGAATTTGGCGCGATTTTTAATCCGTCAGGGCAACCATCTGTCTCTGTAAGTGCCTTAGACAGGAAATCATGCACAAAGAAAGACTAGAGTAGCATCTTGACAGAGGTCCAGTTGCACCGGCAACTGTTTGGATAACTTTCCACAGTGCAGGAAAGTTAACTTGGACACCAAAATAAACAGAAGATGCGTGCGGAACACCTACATCAAGGGGTAAATCCACACCGGGCTTGGCAGCCAACCCAGTCATAAAATCGGAGGTGACAAAGGGCCGCAGGACAACGGAACGCAGGATTGAAGACGCAGCCATCATTTGAGCGGGGTCACGATCAAAGTGAATAGGAATCAGAATCACGGGCATCTGTGAGATTTTCTTCATCATTCCGGACTCGTGTAGCACTGCGTTTACACGAGCATCTACCTCACGGAGGGTTGCAATGACCGGTTCACGTAAAAAGGTCACCGTCACATCGTTCACGGGGTGTTGAATTTTCTGTCCGAATGCGTATACTACCCTGACATTGGCGAGGTGGGAGAAAGGGAAGACAATAAGCAGCCCAATTAGAGTTAGAGATTAAAATAACGCGCTTTCCGTGTTTTATACCAAACCCTGGGGTTATTTAAAGGGAAGACAAGAGCGATTGGAATTATGTTCATTGGGATTGGTCTAATAAAACTTTACCAAACTATTTCGGCTTTTACAAAGGCAACCAAAATGAAAAGAGCGATCTGTGTGGGACAATTAGTACCTTAGTTCTCGCTACTAAGTAATTTATGGCATTTCAATTTGACTCAAGTTTACATGTAAATTATGTGATTTTCGCAAATAAACTCAACACACCGACAAAGCATCGGGAACATTCAGTGCGTTCAAGTAGGAGTTTTAACAAGCAAAAGCGATAAGGTAAGGCAATCGCCCATGGAGCATGCTGGGATTAATCAGCAGCGGTGAGGAGGTGATAGTTAAGCCGAAAGGAATGAAAATTAGGTCACGGGCCGTAAGTGAAAAGATATGCTGGATGGCGCTTATTTCAGCTCGGAAATCGATTAAATCCAACCTAATTGAAGCTGTGAGGGTGAGCAGCATTTTCTAATTCAAGCACTCACCAAACAGACAGAATTCACGGTTTTCAGGGAGCGAGGGTTGTCAGGAAGGAAGCAAGACGATATTGAACGATGGGAGTCGATCGAATAAAAAATGCAGACAGACTACATAATGGAGGATTAAGCGCTACCTTCCACTGACGACGACCACATTGGGGCTCTGTTTCCATGAATAGTATGCAAATTTATGCGCAACACATTTGTTCTAGGGAGTGACTCCGGATCAGCGAAAAGGCACACATACACACACACACACACACACACACACACACACACACGCTGCTACCGGGAGCGAAAGCAAAACACCCACATGCTCGCCCTCTTGTCGCTTGACAGGACGGCGGGTATCGGCCTGCCTGCGCCATGCTCTGTCAGGTACGAGTGCCAGAGCGTGTCGGAGCATGCCCCCTTAACGTTAACTCGAAAGCGAGGCACAGAACGGGCAGCATGAGCGTTGGTTGAACCTTTGTTATTGCCGTGTGGAAACAGGACAGGCCCACTGGAGCATCCACTCTTAACAAGGCTACAACATTTCTCTTTTTACACATGCACAAAAGTACACAGTTCACTGTGAGTGGTTGGAAAGGATAAACACAGACACACACACGCAC